GACTGGAGTGGGGGGCGAGGGGGGGTGTTAGCTGGAGGTTAGCTGGAGGTTAGCCAACCTGGATTAGCCTGGAGTTTGAAGGACTTTAAAAAAAATGACCGGACGGACATAAAAGTCCCAGCTTCCTGATGCTAACAGCGTGCTAACGTGCTAGCATCATTTGGTGTGTGTGTGTGTGTTCGAGGTGGTGGAGAAGCTGATCCGAGGTCTGGCCATGGATAACAGCAGGAACATGTTCGCTCTGTTCGAACACAACCAGGCGGTGGAGAAGGCCATCGAGAGTCGGAGCGTGGTGGCAGACGTCCTCGCCAAGTTTGAGAAGTAACCTCCGTCTCCGTCTCCGCCTTCGCCTGCTTGTCTCTCCTCTGTCGTGGCACTTCCTGTCCGTCTCTAACTGAGCGTTTCCTGTCCAGACTCTCAGCCGGTCAGGACCAGAACAACACCGGCTGGAAGTTCTACTTCAAGCTCTACTGCTTCCTGGACACGGACAACGTTCCCAGAGACAGTGTGGAGTTTGCCTTCATGTTTGAACAGGTGGGTGGATGTACCCCCCCCCCCCACCTACCCCTACACCCGTAACAGGGTCAAGATATTATTGCTATATTTTTATCTCATCTTTGCTAGCTTAGTGTTAGCTCTTCCAGGGCTAAGTATAAACAGATGGAGTCGGTTTTGATCAGTTATCTGTATCACTGGTCCTGGTCCTGGTGCTGGTACTGGTGCTGAAGGAGGTGACGTCAGTCCACTTTCTGCTCCTCTTCCTCCCTCAGGCTCATGAAGCCGTTATCCGGGGTCAGTATCCGGCCCCCGAGGAGACCCTCCAGTTCCTGGCCGCCGTCCGGCTCCAGTACCTCCTGGGCGACTACAGCAGCCAGACCAGCGTTCCGGAAATCTCCCAGGTCTTCTCCATGGCGCGGCTGCGCGCCCGTGTTCAGAACTCGGCCAAGACATTCGCTCCGGGCGGCTCTGCCGCGGATCGCTCCGGAACGTCTGAGAGGAAACGCTCCAGTTTCCTGGAGGGAACGCTGCGGCGGAGCTTCAGGAGCGGCTCGCTGAGCCGGCAGAGGCTGGAGGAGGAGAACAGTCTGGAGGCGTGGCTGCGGGAGGAGGCGGCGGCCGTGCGGGCCAGCGTGGTGGACAAGTGGAGGAAGCTGCAGGGCATGGTCCAGGAGCAGGCCATGGTCAAGTACATGAGCGTGGTCAAGGAGTGGCAGGGATACGGATCCACCCTCTTCAACGTGGAGGTGGGGCTCGGGGCTCGGGGCTCGGGCTCGGGCCGCTTTCTGTTCACTTCCGCTCCGGCTTCATTCTGTCTCTTCCATCTCTGTGTTCGCAGTGTCACGACGGCCCGTTTCCCCCCGAGCTGTGGTTGGGCGTCAGCCGCGAGGCCGTGTCTCTGTACAAACGAGGTGAACTCTGGCCTCTGGAGGTTTTTCCCTACGAACAGATCCTGTCGTTTGGAGCGCCGCTGCCCAACGCCTACAAGATCAGTGTGGAGGGGCGGGAGCTGATGTTTGAGACTCACATGGTTGGTACCACGGCTCCAGAACCTGGAGTCAAAGTTGTTACAACGCGGGGCTAACGGCCAATCACTGAGGGTCGACGCTAAAGTCAGCTCAGAGTTAGCTCAGAGTTAGCTCAGAGTTAGCCAATGACGAGTGAATGGTTGACGTGACCTCTGACCCTCTGTTGAATATACTGTATGATGGTGTTTTCACAGTGTTATTTAAGGCACCTATTATTATTGAGTTCTACCACTTCCTGTTCTTCAGGAGATTTAAGGCACCTATTATTATTAAGTTCTACCACTTCCTGTTCTTCAGGAGAACCAAGCAGGAAAAACATCTCTGAGGTTCCAAAAAAAAATCATTTCATCTCAAATATATCCCATCCAAAGTAACACTGCTGCCACCTTGTGGCTCAGTTTGTCAGGCCTGATAATCATGGACAGCCAATGGGTTAATCCTTAATGTCTATCTAGGCTAACATTTAGCTATCTTCTCTGGCTAACTTTCCTAACCATCTCTCCCACAGGTGATGGATATCGCTAAGCTGATGAAGGCCTACATTAGCATGATCGTCAAGAAGCGCTACAGCAACTGTCAGTCCATCAGTAGCCACAGCAGCCAGTGCAGCAACTGGTGACACCCCCTGGTGACTCCCCCTGGTGGCACCCCCTGGTGACACCCATTTGTTCAGGGACATGTTAAACCACTTTATTAAGAAAAATAGTCGCCCTGCAAATTAGACGAAATGTAACGTAAAGTTAGCAGAAAAAAGTTTGGCCAAAAGATCGGTTAAAAAAGCTGAAGATTGAACAAATTATTACCAAAAGATAAAGACGAGCCAAAAACACAGTCAAGAATGAAGAGGAAACCAGTCGGTCATTATCATAGAATTAGCTAACAAGTAGTTAAGCAGCTAGCTGTGATTGGCCGCGACTTCAGTAACAACTGGTCAAACAAATGGAGGAAAAGTTTGATAAAAAGAAGCTAAAAATCAATTAGCACCAAATGTTATCTACAAATATGGACAATATTTAGTTTTTTAGTTACCGATACCTTACAGCTACAGGTTAGCTACGGACGACTAGGTCAGTATAGGTAACAAGGTTAGGATTAGCTGTAGCAGTAGCTAAATAAATGTCCACATGTAAACCAAAAAATCATGGTTTAGCCAAAGAATAAATAAATAAAGACTAACTAACTAGTGAACTAGTACATTTTATTTAACCAGAAACAGTTAGCACGAAAAGCTACAGCTAGTCACACGCTAATAGGAAATTTAGTTTTCTAACATAAACAAAAATCTTACATTCATGCAAAAAACAGTTAATAGTTAATAATAAGCACATTCTTAATTAAAAAGTAGCTTAAAGTTGGTGAAGAAATAGCTCATGTTAGCTAAGTATAGCATTAGCGTTATCTAATTTTCTGATACTTTGTGTTTTTGTTAAACCTTTTGCATCTTTTAAATTTTTTTTGTTTTATCTTTAGATCATGAAGATAATTCAAATGGGGTTTTACAGGGCTAACTTTTAGCTCTTCTCTAGCTAAATTAGCTATTTGAGAGCTAGTTTTTTTCACATTTTGTGGGACGTGGTGGATTTTCACTCAGCTAATTCCAACTTTACTTTAAGCAAACAACCAGATATTTTTAGGTTATTTTAGCTATTTTGTGCTAACCTTTAGTTTACCTTTGGCTAATTTTGCTCTTCGTTCTTTCATTACAAAATTGTTGCCCTTTGTTTTTTTCTGCAGCTGAGTCGTCGCTCCACAACGTAGAAAGCAACGTAGAAAAATCATTAGCTAACAGGTGTCGTTATTAGCCTTAGCTACGTTACGCTCTCAGGTTTTCACTGCGGAGGTCAAAGGACAACATTCACACACACACACAAATCTGGGCGCCCCCTGCTGGTCCACTGTAGATTACAATTTTATAAACCACTCTTCCACACCATGTGGAGTCTTTTGATGTCATTAACTGACTCTGACACAGGGGGCGCTGTGCCCTGAACATGTGTCAGTACTAAGAAAAAAGTTCTCAAGTACCAAGGCTCCCCCTCGTCCCCCCCGCCACCCCTCCCACCCCCAAACTGGGCCTTTGCAGTGCGACATTCCTGGGACATTTCAGTGGAGCGCCGCTGGCGGCAGCTCCGCCTGAAGATGCTGCAAAAAACTTTGATTCCACGGTGCCTTGGTGTGAATGACGTCCAGTCGTGTTCACGTGTGCTTTCTTTTTTATGCTATAAAGTGCAATGTTTGATGTCTATAATATCTATAATTATAAATCTATGGACATAGTTATACTGTACAGTTTGTCCCGTCAGACTGTGGCCTTGTTTTCTTGTTTTTGTTTTGATTTTCTGGATCTTGACCAAACAGGGATTTTATACGTATGAAAATGTGGGTTTTGACCTTTTATTATGAAACGTGTATTTGTTTTGATAAAGAAGGATTCTTATAATAAATGCTTTTATATTTAAAAGTGTTGAATCCATTCACGTTGTTCCGGCACCGATTTTCACTTTTAAAATGAAGCTGCCATCTAGCTGAGTCCCTGCCCTGTCCTGTAGGTGGTGCTTTGTACACATTTGAAGTCAGTTTCCATGATTTACTTCATTATTTATATAACGAATCCTGTAAACTGTGTCGAACTTTACTGAGTGTTCACTGGATATAAGAAATGAACACCATTAAAGACTTGGTCTGAACTAAAATCTCTGATTTTCTCCATGGACTTTGGTCTGAACTAAAATCTCTGATTTTCTCCATGGACTTTGGTCTGAACTAAAATCTCTGATTTTCTCCATGGACTTTGGTCTGAACTAAAATCTCTGATTTTCTCCATGGACTTTGGTCTGAACTAAAATCTCTGATTTTCTCCATGGACTTTGGTCTGAACTAAAATCTCTGATTTTCTCCATGGACTTTGGTCTGAACTAAAATCTCTGATTTTCTCCATGGACTTTGGTCTGAACTAAAATCTCTGATTTTCTCCATGGACTTTGGTCTGAACTAAAATCTCTGATTTTCTCCATGGACTTTGGTCTGAACTAAAATCTCTGATTTTCTCCATGGACTTTGGTCTGAACTAAAATCTCTGATTTTCTCCATGGACTTTGGTCTGAACTAAAATCTCTGATTTTCTCCATGGACTTTGGTCTGAACTAAAATCTCTGATTTTCTCCATGGACTTTGGTCTGAACTAAAATCTCTGATTTTCTCCATGGACTTTGGTCTGAACTAAAATCTCTGATTTTCTCCATGGACTTTGGTCTGAACTAAAATCTCTGATTTTCTCCATGGACTTTGGTCTGAACTAAAAGTTTGAGTTGATTAAAACAAACGCATAATTTTATAGAAATTAAAACTCGGTCACATGTTTATACGTGTGTTTTTTTCTCTGCAGGTGCACCAATTGGATTCTGTGCATCCGGTGTTCGCTGCGCACGCGCAAACGCGTGTGTGTGTGTGTGTGTGTGTGTGTGTGTGTGTGTGTGTGTGTGTGTGTGTGTGTGTGTGTGTGTGTGTGTGTGTGTGTGTGTGTGTGTGTGTGTGTGTGTGTGTGTGTGTGTGTGTGTGTGTGTGTGTGTGTGTGTGTGTGTGTGTGTGTGTGTGTGTGTGTGTGTGTGTGTGTGTGTGTGTGTGTGTGTGTGTGTGTGTGTGTGTGTGTGTGTGTGTGTGTGTGTGTGTGTGTGTGTGTGTGTGTGTGTGTGTGTGTGTGTGTGTGTGTGTGTGTGTGTGTGTGTGTGTGTGTGTGTGTGTGTGTGTGTGTGTGTGTGTGTGTTAGTGGGCGTGCGTGCAGGCGGAAGAGCCACATATTCGCTGCTGGAAGCGCAGCCGCAGCAGCAGGAGAAGAAGCTAAATTAAAGCGAACTAAAGTGAAAACAGACGCTGTTTGATTTGCACACGGAGAGGGAACAGCGCCACCACCTGGGAGCGGCAGGTAAGAAGAAAGGCGTCCTTTGAAGCCTCGTCTCTGCTTATTTTTCTTAAGTCTATTTTCAGTAACTTATTTGATTTATTGCCACGTGCCGAGCACGAGGCCAGGCCGTGCGCGTGCGTCTCTGTGGGTGGGAGATCGTCCACCCTTAAAAAATATTTGGATTGATTTCATAATTACATGAAGCAAGTCATATTAATGCTGATGGAGAGGGGTGTGTGCAGCCTGCGCGCGCACATGGGCGTGCGCGTCATTCCCTGGTGATTTCATACAGAAAGAAAAACTGGGAAAAAGAAAGAATGCGAGATTTCTGCTGTGGATTTGCACTAAAAAAGAGCCGGGGGAGGGAGGGTGAGGGAGGGTGAGGGTGAGGGGGTGTCGGGACTGTGGGGGTCTCTTTGTATAGGTGCGCAGGTCTGCCGGGAGCGCGCACGTGCACTGCTTAATTTCTCGACGAGTCTAATCATCATTTATTACATATTTCCATTTTTAGTCACACTGATGACGTCGACAGTGTCGGGTTTTGTGCGTGTGCGCGTGCATTCGTTGTTGCCGCAACTCAAACTTCGAACCCTCCTCTCGCACTGTCCTTTGTTTGCTGCGACGCGCAAGCGCTGTAGGTGTTGGGCGTGGACGGCAGACATGGTACCTTGCCGGAGGAGAGGGAGAGGAGGATGAAGATGAAGATGATGTTGAGGAGGAGGAGGAGGAGGAGGAGGAGGAGGAAGGTTCTTCACTTCATCCTCTCTTCTGTGTTTTGTGTCGGTTCAGTTTTTGTTTTTAAACATTCAGACCAAACCTCATAGAGAAAATGAGTGATTTTAGCTGCTGCCTCCATCACAACACCAGGTCCAGGAAAGTTCCGGGCCATCACATCATTACTGCCTTTCCACACCACACATCCTTTGTTCAGATCTTCCCCAAACTGACCACAGGAGGCAGCAGTGTACCACCAGCTGCTGTGTCTGTTTGGCGTGGGAGGACGGGCGAATGACACGCGTCAGTTTCCTGTCGTAAGAGACTGAACCGCAGGGCCAGCAGCAGAGCCGTGTGTTTTCATTGTCTGCTCAGAGGAGCAGGGATTGGAGCCGGCAGCACAAACTGCCCCATTGTTGCTGGTACAACGCTGCAGCAGGCGTTTGGAGGCCGGCACGTGTTGACGGTCTGAAAAACAGAGAAGAAATCAGTACTTTATTAAAAAGAGGACAGACAGAGGTGGAACTTTATAAAACCCT